AATATTTATTTTCTTTAGGAAATCCTTTCTGCCCCTCGAGCGATTCGAATTCCGCGCTGCTCCCGCCGCTAGTACGCTGCGCGGCCGGAGAGGGCAGTGCGGACCAGGTGCAAGCCATCGATGGAGTCCAGTGTACAGTGGCTCATGTTAGCCGCTTGACCCGTTACAATACGTATGACATGTATTGTACCACCATGTATATAAAAAGGATCCGTATATTTACAAAAGACATTTTTATTAGGTGGATAATAGACCATATACATCTGCTATACCTATTCACTTTATTTATACATATAATATATGGATATTGTACTTCGTGTAGTGCCTGGGATAGTCCACGTTTCTTCGAATGTTTCACGTTGGACATCCTATTAATCCTTTAAATTTGTGTTTACTATTCTTGAATTACTGGTAAACTATTCTTTTTTTTTTTTTTTTAATATTTTTCAGATGGCTTATTTATTATCAGAAGAACCATTGGACACTTTGGAGGAATCGGAATCTGAATGTCCAGCAAAAAGAAACAACTTTTATCTCAAGATGTTACCCATAAATTTACAATTAATGCGGTTCCTGCCAAAAAATATTTAAAAACATAACTTCATATAGTTGTATCGAAGGTATTTTCTTAGTTCCTCGTTTCTCTATTCCTTATTACCTTATTATTCCTTCCTAAATATTTTCGGGATATTTCAGATGTAATCTCTAGTTACCTTACAAAAGATAATGTTTCATCACCAAAACAAGAGATTCAGAAATCGGTGCAAATAATCTAACATCGTTAAAAATTGAAACGGTGTACGTTAAAGATGTAGTAAAAGCGCTTCGGATATTTTTGAAAAATAAATGAAATAAAAATTATGAAAATTTGAGATGAATAATATACCCAACAATTACCTGATGAGATCCCGATCATATAAGTAGGGTAGTAATAGTGCAGCCGGATGATATCCTGATGAGGGTTCTCACGAGGACACTACGTGACTGAATTCATTGGGTCCCGATGGGGTGTCCGCATCGGGACCCGATTAGCACCTAAGTTTGGCATCATCATATCCTGATCAGAGCCCTATTATTATTTCTACTCGGGTAAATGGTTTAATGGCAATGTTTAAATGTCCATAACATTACTAGCACGATTTACATATAATTTTTATTAGTATTACATATATTAATTTTGCATTTATTTTGAAAGTACTTTATTATTTGTTAGTAGGAAATAGATTTATTAAAAATGCATTCCTTTAAGACAACTGCCTATAGATCGTATGGATATTTAAAAAATATTAAAAAACTATATTTAATTTTTGCAGAATATCCGTTAATGGGCATGTAATATCTGTAAAATATCGTATACATAACGAAATGGTCACATGCCGATATGAAGTAAATATCGGTGGAATACTGTATGAATGTTCTAGGGAATGTCATTGAATATTTCATCAATATTTTAGACATTTTTCTCTGCATATAATATATAATTTATGATGTGAATTTCGGGCCACACGTCTCAAGTCTTTTGAAGGGCCAATTAGACTAATGTCGCCTATCAATTGTCGTACGGGTCTGACGGGCGCTGACCCGCGGGGAAACAATCATTTATTTTATTGCGATTAATTAATAAATTTGTTCAATTCTTTTCAGATGTAGACTTTATGACCTATTTATTTAGTTCCTTTATTCTTTAAAGCTCCCGAGTTGCATTGTTGTTGCGTTGGGATGCTTCTTCCGCCTTTTTAATCCCTTTTTCGGTAAATAATTGCTGCATACATTATCTCAAATATTCCGCAGAATGTTCGTGGAATATTCCGCCGAATAATCGGGAAGTCTTAGAAACTCGTCTTAAAGCGACGTTTCGCCAGGACGTCAACAGCATCGACCCCTAAAGGGTTGTGGGCCGCGTCGACGCCCGCCGCTCCAGTAATCGTCTGCAGTGTTACGTGGCAGCCGAGGGGATGCGTGGCCGGCGGAAATATTCGGGTTTTGCCTGAAGAGGTCTTACCTCGTACGTCCACGAAACGATTATATATTATTATGAGGAGATGGCCCGAGCGGCTAGACTAAACCTTCTGGTGGAACTTATAGGAATGGGGAGCTAAGGAAGGCTCAATTAATGAAGGTTATCAATAAATTGACGAGGATGAATATATTTGTCTTCTGTCAGATGGTATTTCTACAAGTCGTTAGGGACCGCGAGGGTGCTCGTGTCTAATTTTTATGGTTCGGTTTCATTCCGCGTTGCGGAGCTTCGGGTGACGCGATAAGGCGGTCAGTGGCAGTAGGTCACTGGACGCCTAATACGCTAACATGGCGCTTCTTGCATTCAGAACTTGCGAGGTTCGCGTGATTCTAGCGCGAGGCATGATATTGAAATGTTTTGGAGATACAAAAAGACTTAATCTATCCGGTTATCCGGAGCTAGGCATGGCATTCGGGTATTTTTAATTACGATGAAGGATAGGATTAGGATGAAAATGAAAGTGGCCCGAGCTTGCGAAAAGGCCTGTACCTGGCTTAAATCAGCAGCCAAATTCGGTGACGTCCTCCTTAAATCGATCAACCGGATGACTGCGCATGATCACCTTCCGCCCGTGACGTACCCTAGGGTTGGAGGTCTCCTCGAAGCCTCCCATCCAACGGATGTAGTAGTGCCGCTGTCTCTTCCTGGCTTAATGCTTTTGGATCGCCGGAGTACCGAGTAGCACAATTGTAGCTCGGGGTGCAAGTGATCCTCCGAGTTCGATGGTTTCGGTCTTAGACTCGCTAGAAACTGAGAGCCGAGAACCAAAGACTCTAAGCTCGTGGTCGATGACGATGATGGGTCCGTGAGACTCGGTGTGAATCTGACTTTTCTTCTAACTGACTGACTGCCTGACTGAACGATTGTTGGTTATTATCGGCGAATTTGGGGCGGCGCTCCAATTCGTGGGGGTTCCATGGTCTAGACGAGGGCGGTGATTGCAGGGGTGTAGGATGTGTTGCAGCGTCTTGTCGCAGGATATCTAAGTAATCTGATATCGCTCAAGTTGTTGCGTCGCAAGCCTTCCTCGCGATAGGAGGCGAAGAAGCTGCGCGGTGGCCACGTGGCCGCCCGCGTCACGTCCAAGTTGCGCGATTATGTCGCAATTTTGCGGTATAGGAATTGTCATTTTTGTGAAACATTGAATCCTTTTCGAAAAATAATTGATTAAGCATGGCATCCGCCAGTTTCGCGCCGAATCCTTTACCTCTCATTTTCTGTATCCCGATAATAATTTCGATATATTTTAGTATCAAAAAACTCGTAGTGTTGAATGATGAGCGAAACGCGCCTTATGCGTTTCTGCCTCAACGAAACGCTACCGACTACATAACACGAACGACCAAAATTTCAGAAGTGGGGGAAATAATAATCTACTCTCTCCATTACTATAGTAAAAGAAATGAACGTTTGACCAACTAAAAAAATCAAGCAAATAATCAGGAACAGCTCAAATTGCACCCTTCCTATCAAAAACTCAAATCAGCTATCTTTGCCAAACATAATAGAAGATTCATTCCATTAATGTCCCAGCTAAAATCTTTTTGCCAAATATCACTGTACATTTGGTTTCACGTATATTGTATGTACGTGGCATGTATATGGCATGTACAAGATTTTCTACTTCCTCACACCGAAGACAAATATTAAAAACTATATCGAAACAAATTAATAAATTGGAATCTAAATTTGAAAACAATATTTTATTTGGCGAGCACCCGTTGTATACTCTTGGCATATGGTCATTTTGGTGCTCGCCGAATATAATATAATTTTTAAATATGGTTTCAAATTTTTTATTTGTTTCGATATAGTTTTTAATATTTGTCTTCGGTTTGAGGAAGCAGAAAATGTATGTGCAATATACGCGAAACCAAATGTACTGACATTTAGCAAAAAAATTTGTGTTGGTACTATATGTTATTTTTGGTAAGATCAAATCCTATAGTACCATACTTTTATATTGCCCGGTTGGCAACCCTGTTTAGTTCCTTGGCACTGGGGGCGTTTCAAGAATGAAAAAGTCAGTTGAGTTCGAACAGTAGACGTAACAGGATGTTTGGATTCCCTCCTGATTTACCCTTTTTAACAGGTTACGAGTCCAGGCGACACAGGGTTCGTGTGTGTTTTTATCGAAGGTTGTTTAGTACATGTTACGTGTTCCGAATATTTCTAACAATGGCAGTGAACTTTCTATCTAGTGCTCCGAAGCTAAAAGTCCGAGAAGACTGCAGCAACTGGGCTTTTACCGTTCGACACATGCTAGTTCTGGACGAGTTGCAAGGTTGTTTAGATGGCACGGAAACGGACACAGGAAAAGATGGAAAAGCCTTGGCAAAATTAATTCTAAAGATTGACCCATCACTTTCTATACATGTAAAAGAAGCGAAGAAAGCAGAGGACTTGTGGACTCAGTTAGAACATTTATTCTCCGACAGCGGTTTCTGTCGGAGAATTGGCTTGTTACGCGCTCTAACCTCGATAAAACTCGTGAATTGTGATTCTGTCGAGGCTTACGTGCCTTCGTTAATGGAAACAGTTCAGAAATAGAAAGGAACCGAGTTTAATTTCGGTGATCATTGGATTGGATCATTATTATTGGCAGGGCTACCAGAAAAATACGCGTCAATGATTATGGCGGTTGAATATTCTGGAATGCATCTCACGGTGGATAGTATCAAAACTAAATTGCTTGATATGGAACCGGCCAATGAAGCAGGGAATGGCAATGCCTTTGGTGCAGGTCGGAATAATAAACACAATAACCGGAACAGTTATTCTAGAGTTGGGAATACTGGTGCGAATAGCTCGAATGCACAGATGAGCGGAACTTGCAGTTATACTAATCCTAACCTACAAAATGTCAGGTGTTACAAATGTAAGCAAACTGGACATTACAAAAACAAATGCCCAAATAATAAAACTGATAAAAAAGGGGCCTTCAATGCGGCGTTTTTAAGTGGCGAATTTAATAACCAAGATTGGTATATCCGGGTGCCAGTGCTCATTTAACAATACATCAAAAATGGTTAGAGAATGTTTCTACAAATGCAAAGTGTAAGGACATTTTGGTAGCCAACAATGAAAGACTTCGCGTGACATGCATTGGTGATATTAATATTAAGACTGTAGTCAGCAAAAATGTTTACGATGTCATCTTATTCAAAACTAGGTGTGTTTCTGGTTTGGCAACTAATCTTTTGTCACTGAATCTGTTAATTCACAAGGGAAACCAAGTGGTTTTTGACAATGGCGGTTGTAAAATTTACAACAGTGAAAATATTTTGGTAGCTGTTGCAGACTTGATAAACAGTGTATATATTATAAATTGCGAATCAACCGTGAGTTACAGTGTTTCTGGTCATCAGCAACAGCTGCTAATGGGGAAACATGGCACAGGAGGTTTGGCCATATCAATTATAAGGATCTTTATAGGGTGAAGGATGGAATAATTGAAGGCATACATTTCAAAACAAATTTGGATGTTGGGTGTTTGGATGACCGACTATGTTTATATAAACATGCAGACTTATCTATTAGCTGTCTATGGCATCGATTTCAGTTGTCCCAGAGCTCTTTTAAAGTACATTTTGTTGGTGACAGTCTCTTTTAAAACTTTTTTCTACACCGTTTAATATGGATATCCAAAGGCATCATTTGCGGCGCGTTACGCTTCATTGCTTTAAAAAAGGTAATAGTGCAAAGGATACCGAAGACGAGATTTGTACCGTTTACGGAAGTGGTGCTACGACTATTAAGACCGTCCGCAATTGGTTTAAGCGATTTAGAGCTGGCAATTTCGAATTAAAAGATGAAGACCGCAGCGGCCGCCCAGCAACGACGGATACAGACCTTATCAAGGCCATGCTCGCTGAAAATCCGCGAGATAATGAATGCCACTAACATTCCCAAGACAACAGTACATAATCACTTGATCAAGATGGGATATGTCAATCGTTCAGTCAAAATCAATCAAAGTTTGGGTTCCACACCTATTGACGGAGACCGGCCTTATAAACCGCGTCTCTACGTACAATTTGCTTCTTCAACGACATAACAGAGATCCTTTCTTAAAGAGGCTTGTCATTGGAGATGAGACGTGGATCTTATATCAAAATGTGCATCGAAAACGCACTTGGTCTAAGGACAATAGACCTTTAACTGTTGCAAAGCCTGAACTTCACCCGAAGAAAGTTCTTTTATGCATTTGTTGTGACTGAAAAGGTGTATACCACAAGCTCCTTCTCAAGGTGAAACCATCAATTCTGCCAAATACTGCAATCTGCTTGATCAATTGAGAGCCGTCATGGCAGAAAAACGGCTAGAATTATCGAACAGACGAGGCGTCGTTTTTCATCACGACAACGTAAGACCGCATGTTGTATTGAATGTAGGACAAAAGCTGTTATAGTTTGATTAGGACGTTCTACCGCATCCTCCGTGTTCCCCCGATCTTGCTCCATCCGATTATTACTTGTTCCTGTCATTAAAAAAATCTCCATGATAAACGATTCCAATCAGAACGAAATAAAAACGCACCTCGAGGAATATTTTGCAAGTAAGCTCCAACGATTTTGGAAAGAGGAAATAATGAGGCTTCCTGGGAGATGGAAGGTAATAGAGCAGAACGGTATATATATAACGCAATAAATCAACCTTAAACAACAAATATCGTGTATTCATTTCATATAAAAAAAAGGAAGAAACTTATGGGACACCCTAATAAATTGACTCTGACGCGAACAGCCTGAATTTTCCTCGAGTTGAAAAATCACAATACCCAATCAGTCACGGTAATAATCGGTGGTAGGTTATTCAACCCGATTCCAACAAGGGACCGTTTCATGGAGAAAGAGAAATAAAAGGAGGGTCGGCTTGCTACGAGCCAAGCGAACTAGAAAGGAATTGAGGGATTAAGATTGTAAAAAATAGTAATCAATTCCGATTTTAAAGAAAAAGGTTTATAATAAAATGAAAAAAATGTGCGTGTCGTGGGATACACAACCGAAGTAAGACTTCTGCAATTCATTTGCATTATGTAAAAACGGAGCTTCTATTCCTCGATACTCGAGAAATCGTATTAGAGCTCTAGGATGAGACCCCTCTTCCTGTGTTTGGTTTTCAAATAATTGATGTTAAGATAAATAAATCTCCCTCAAAGTTCTTTTCTTTCCCTTTTGCCGAAAAGAGGCGTTTTAATTATTTACACGGGTACCTCGAATTCGATTAACTTATCCCTTTTTTCAGTAGCGTACCTGAAGGAACCTAAAATAAAACAATGTCATTCTTTTTCACCGTCTCTGGCAGTAAGCCATATTAAGAACTCTTCCAGCCAAATTTTAATTCCCGTCGTTTAGTGCGAATATTTAGGTGTTCAAGGTCTCCCCAAATTTGGTAGATTGTAAGCGCGACGGCCCGGCTCGGCGCGCGACGCTCGACCGCGGCGGGACGATCCAAAACAAGTCGCCAGGGCCGTCAATACATTGACCAAGGAAGCGTCTGTAGGGCACCTACGAGGAGAGGGCCTGGATAACGGCGGACGGGCCAAAAAGAACCACAAAGACTGGGATCATGTGGCTCCTCGGGGACCACCGAGACCAACTAGAGCGACCTCCTCGACGGAGGGATACCTGGGGCCACGATTCCGATCGAGCCCCAGGTCAGCCGGAACCATCCACCAGGAACATCATCAGGAGATCCGCCGACCGGCCCGAGGGGGGGAGACCCTCACAGGTTCGGCCCTGATTCTTGCGCGCGGCGCGAGCCAGCAGCCCGGCGGTGCCCCATCCCGGGAGTGCGCCCGCTGAGGATCCTCGCTAAGAAGCTCGAAGACAGTAATTAGGTCAAGCCGCGGAAAATTAGGCCAATGGGACCCCGCGGAAGACGCCGGACCAAGGGAGGGGGAACCCATACAAAACGGGCCGCAGGCCGCGGCCTTTCCTTCTTCACTTGGAAAATTTGGTTGTAAATAGTGATACGTGTTCGTCACCTCGCTGCCCTCGCCTGCCGTCTCGCACGGAGTCCGGACCGACAACATCGTCAACGGCGAGACCGAGGACCGCCGCGCCGAGCCGGGGCCCGGGCCCACACCGCGGTTAGTCTCCGTCCTCCCTCGGTTAGAGTCGCGTTCTCCTCTCTCGAGTGTTTCGTCTATTTCTCTCTCTCTCTCTTCCTCTTTCCAAGGGCCAGTTAGTCGCGCGGGGCGACCGCCCGGGCATGTTCTCGGGGAGATAGGGCCACGCGGGGCGACCATTTCCCCAATTCTTCTTTTTCTGTGTTCCGCCGGTTCGAGGGCCTCCTAGGGCCGACCGCCGAGACCGCGAATTTCGGGAGGACGAGGAGAGGGTGTGGAGCCCGGGGAAACTGAAACCGTCCTAAAGACTTGGCCAAATTAGGCGAACGCGCGGTGAGGCTCCCCAAATAATTCAATCTCAGGGTTTCAGTAAATAAAGATTTGTAGAGTTCCTTTTTGCGGCCCGTATCGCGCGATCCGGATCCCGCGTATTCCTCGGATTCTCGATTTCGATCCTTCCATTTAGGCCGAAAATCTCGAGTTCGCGGAGCAACGGGCGAAGAAGCCGCGAGGCGGCCAGAGAACCGCCCGTGTCGAACGTTGACCGTGTCCGCGCGTTTCTTTTCCATTCTCCCTCGGAGCCGAACGGCCTGTGTCTGCAACGCGTAGCGCGGAGCGAGCACCGCATTGCGAAATTCGCATTTCCCTTGAATTTTCGTGTTAGATAATTCCTATTTCCTTATCCGGCGAAATCGCGACGCCTTTCGACCGTTAAGTACGATTTTAATGATTTTCTATCTTTTTACCGTACTCATAACTTAAAGTTCGCCACTTTCTCTATTCTGGAGCGATTTTCGTTTACAGTTTCTTCACGAGGTGCTTTTCAGTAAAAAGACACCTCTCGGTTCGAAGATTTTCCCTAAGGACCGTCCGTATTCCTTTTCTCATGCCCTCATATAATTGTATCTTTTCCGCGTTAAAGACTTCAAGACGAATCCTTGTCACGCGCGATTTAAAGCTCGGTAGTGCCTTCAATATATTTTTCGTATGTTACTCTCTCGTAGTTATCCTATGTTCCATTATCTTTGCGAAGGTCCGAGAACCGACCGTTCCGCATTCAACTTAAAGTTCCTTCCTCTCGCGACTATTTGCGATTTAATTCCTTTTCGGATTAATTATTATTTTCAAGTGCCTTTGGCATTCTATTATACTTAGAACAAGTCCGGTTCGCTTTTATTTGACCGTAATATTCCTCAATTACTTATCGCGTTTTTGTTATTTTATCGTCGTTTTATATTATTTTATCTCGTGTATATTATTATCATTTCCGGTCTATCTTTTATTAATGTCGCTACAGATAGTTCGAATCATATTCCTTATCTGGATTTTTTCTAAGTCCCTCTCGTGAGCTTTCTCCTTTAATAGTTTTAATTTCCATATTCGGAATTCGTATCCGTATTCCGTAGTTCTCGGCGCGTCCCGTTTAGCAAAAGTTCCTTCCGCGTTTCGCTACAGTCTTCCCGACGGAAGAGAATTCCCGGCCGAACATCATATCGTCCGGCACGCTATCTTACACTTATTAATTATCGGCCCGATTAATGGTATTTAATGTTATTACTTTTCGGCATGCCCTTTTAGAATCATTACCTCAGGCGCCTCGACGGCGCATTTACTTTTGTGTGCTCCTTTAATATAGATGGCGAGCTTCATCCCATATTACCTACTAGTCCCTTCTATTCCTCACCTTTTTAATACCTATTTTCTTTATCATTATGGTACCTGCGATACTGTCGGGAATTATTTAATCCCATACAGGCGCGCCTGCGTCGCGTGCTTTCTCCTTCCGAATTAATGTCGGGATTCTGTCCTTCGGCAATTTGTTATATTTCCCTTTTTAAATAATTATTGGAAGAAAACCACTTTGAAATTTCCTTCCTTACCGAATAATTGTCGGGTTACAGCCTTTTGGCTCTTGTTCAAATTGATTCCTTCTATTTCGTTTTACAATCGAAATCAATCTCGGGTGAATAAATCGTATTGTGATTAGCCCTTTAATTTGCAGTTTCTTTCATTTTCTTTATCAAGGCAAATCTTTCCTCTCATTTAGCGGAAGGAAGTCCCTTCCGGACAAGTTAGAATCGTGGGGTTAAGCGCCCTTACCTCGCCCCGCTCCGCGGCCATTTCGGTGGCCAAACTATCTGGCCCTTCGCCCTGGCCGCGAGACCCTTTCGAGTAGAGGCAACATTTTGGGAGTCTTCTCCGAAGACGGGCCTCGGAGAAGCCGGGGATAAAACCTTCGCCTTTGCTTTCCGGTTCCGCTCTCGCGGGGAGAGTTCGAGCCCTTAGGGAAGGGCGGCCGAAGGTACCTTAGGATTTGGCGTCTTGGGACGCCTGGCGCCAAACCGGTATTTTAATCTTGCGTGTGCGTGCTCAGGGGTGGGTGCGAGCCAGGGCGGAGGTTAAGACCTTTGGGACAAAGGGCCCCTTTTGTGAACCTAGGTATCCTTAGGGTGGGATACGCGTCACAGTATATACAAACTGACGTATTCACCAATATATACGTGAAAGTTGACACAAAATACGACTCAGTACTGACTAATGAACATATTCGCCCGGCTAGGGAAGAAAACTAACACGGGCACGCTTGAGTTAGTCATTCTATTACGTCACCTCGTCGCTATGACAACGCACGTGGACACGCCATATACTATACAGGATGTAAGAAAACTCGTAGTCACAATTTATACAGCGCTATCCTCTTTGAAAAAGGTGTGGAACAGTTCTGTACTATTTTTTCCTGCAGTGCATAAACTTGGTGTAATGATTAAGTGAAGCACAGCCAATCAATCGCATTTCCAAATGGCGGGCATAGCGGAGATGACGCCGGTAAGACTGCTACGCCGCAGATAGCCGAACGCAGCCCTACTGGCATCCTGTCCGCTGTGTTCCGCTCGAGAACGTGATTAATTGGCTATGCTTCAATTAGTTAGTACAGGAAATTTAAGCACTGTAGGAAAAAATAGTACAGGACTTATCGACTTCTTTTTCAACGCGGATGGCGCTGTAGAAACCGTGACTACTAGTTCTTTTACACCCTGCATATACATACTTACGGGATAGATGACGTCACAGACTTGGTATGCGGGAAAAATAGAGGGGATACATTCCAATGCGTAACGCTTTTTTGTTACACCTTATGTTTTCCTGCATTTTACTCCTCAAATGATCAAGGCTCGGGCGCCGCATAAGAAGTTTTACTTCAAAAAGAGTCATTTACCGGCGTTCACTACCAAAGTGGGGACGATGACTTCCATCGCTAGATGGCATTAGCATCGAATTCGGTGGGAGGTAAC